CATCTGCAAACGGCGGCTCAGTGGTTAGCACTGCTGCCTCACAGCGCCAGGGACCCAGGTTCAATTCCACCCTCAGGTGACTGTCTGTGTGGAGTTTGAATGTTCTCCCCATGTTTGTGTCGCTTTCCTCCGGTTTCTTCCCACAGTCCAAAGGTGTGCACGTTAAGGGGGATTGGTCATTCTAAATTGCCCCATAGTGTCTAGGGAGGTGCAAGCTGGGTGGGTTAGCCATGAGAAATGGTGTCATCTGCAAACTTATTAACCTTACCTCCTACATTCACATCCTAATCATTTACATAAGTGACGAAAAGCAATGGACCCAACACTGTTGATCACAGGCCTCCAGTCTGAAAAACAACCCTCTACACCACCCTGTCTCCTAACTTCAAGCCAATTTTGTATCCAATTGGCTAGCTCCCCCGGATTCCACATGATCCAACCTTGCTAATCAGTCTACCATGTGGAACATTATTGAACACCTTACTGGAGCTCATATGGACAACTTCTACCGCTCTGCCTTCATCAATTTTCTCGGTCACTTCTTCAAAAAAAACACTCAGTCAAGTTAGCGAGACACAATTTCCCACACAAAAAGCCATGTCGACTACCCCAATCACTCCTTGCCTCTCCAAACGCATGCAAATCCTGTCCCTCAGAATCCCAACCAACAACTTACCCACCACTGACTTACCAGTGTATGGTTCCCTGGCTGTTCCTGATCACCTTTCCTAAATAACGGCACCACATTAGCCACAATTTAGATTCAAGCAAGCTGGTGAGGGGGAGGTGGGAAACAAAGAGGCAATGACCGAGTATTAGCGAGCATCAACTTCATTGAAGAGCCAGGCTTGACAGAACGCAAATAGGTGGTTGGGAGTCTGATTTGCCCCTACAGCTCCTTGCCGTGCACTCTGCAAAGTAACTATGAAAACACCTACAGAGCAAAGGAACTAGAAATTCAGCTACTGACCGAGTTATCTGTCCACTGATCAGCAACTTAGAATGGTCACACAAGGCCTACAGTTTTAATGACTATCTGTGCGGAGTTTGTACGCTCTCCCTTTATCTGCGTGGGTTTCCTCCCATGGTCCAAAACAGTGCAGGTTAGGTGGATTGGTCGTGGTGTCCAGGGATGTGCAGGCTAGGTGGGTTAGCCATGGGAAATGCAGGGTTGGGGTAGGGGGCTGGGTCTGGGTAGGATCCTTTCAGAGGGGTCAGTGTTGACTCGATGGGCTGATTGGCCTGCTTCTGCCCTATAGGGATTCTAAACTCCTTATTAAAACTGTCGCTGGTGGGGCAAGGGAGATAAAGGGGGTCACACAGGCAAAAGAAGTGGAGGGAGAATGTGACGTGTGGTAGAAAGGGGAATAATAATGTTGTTATCTTAAATCCCTTTATTCTCCTTCCCCACCCATAATGAGAGCCATGTTCTTACTAAAGGGGGGAAAAAATTGGATATTAATAAAGGCAATACTTTCTGTGTTTGAATTGAATGTGAAACCAGTAATATATGTCACGACACCATTATTAAATGTCACAACATGGATAATGGTGCCAAAGCTCTTAAGAAGATATACTGCTGCACATTTAACATTGGCATTAATCCTACATTTCAGCTTTTTGCAGCCAATGAATTTGCAAATTCAGTGCCCATGGATCAGAATCACTTCCATGATTTACACGTGATACAGAGTCATCATACAAGCGAAACTCAGCGGGTTTAAACAGGACATTTTGCCCATCAGTACTGGTGCTTCTCAAAACTTGGGTCCTATTTGTGTCACCAATTTTCCTATTTAAACATGCCGTTGTTGCAGCCTCGCAATATACACAACATGTACATGCCTGTTCTGGAAAATTTGGCAGGTCAGCTGTAGTCACTCTCTCAAAATGTTACTTTGAAGTTGCAACTTACTGACTGTTTGAAATTGACCAGCATGTTGGTCTAACATACCCACTGCATTACTGTTGGGCAGTCCATTGTGAGTGAACACATTTTCACTTCCGGCTCATGCAACCTTCCTGCCACCAACAACCAATTGGGTTGGCACGGTGGCTCAGTGGTCAGCACTACTGCCTCACTGCGCCAGGGACCCGGGTTCGATTCCACCCTCAGACGACTGACTGTGTGGAGTTTGCACATTCTCCCCGTGTCTGTGTGGGTTTCCTCCCACAGTCCAAAGATGTACAGGTTAGGGTGGATTAGTCATGGGAAATTGCCCATGTGTTCAGGAAAGTGCAGGCTGGGTGGGTTAGCTATGGGGGACAGGGGGTTGGTGGGACTGGATGGGATGCTCTTCAGAGGGTCAGTGCTGACTCAATGGGCTGAGTGGCCTGTTTCCACACAGTAGGGATTCTATGAATAGAAGAATCATTCCATTTGCCCCTAGCAGGTTTCTAACCACATTTGCTGCACTAACACTTAATCGATGCTTAAGTATCTTCCAATTTAAGTGATTTATTTTGTCCCCTCATACTTTGCTGACACGATTCTCCCAACCCAGATTTCCACAGCATTGGTTATTGGAGGCTGCTGAAAGTCGCATTCCTCCTCCCTTCTCCAATCACATTCACTTCAATTGGCTGAGGTTCATCAGCGTCCAAGATCCATAGCACTGAGTGACAGTGGAGGGGAGATTTCAGTCGAAATTCCACTGATCGCTCGTAGAGAGAAAAAGACATGAGTTCACTAGATTCTGCTTTCTCAAACTCCCCAGTACACAAACCGTACAGGACTTCAAACAGAAATCTCTGAAGTCCAACCCAGGGTCACCAAAGCCTTCAAAACTTGGGCGTTTTCTTCTGCATTGATTGACAGACCTCTGTAACTTCCACTGTCCCTACAAACCCCAGCTGCAGTGGTGCCTTCAGCTACCAAGGCCCTAAACTCTGGAATTCCAAAGACTAAACATTGTATTTCAAACTCTCCCCCTACCTCAAAAAGACTCCATCAAACCCTACCCACTCTCTTGGCCAAGCTTTGGGCCATGGTTCCTGATGTGTGGTTTGGCATCAAATGTTGGTTGGTATGTGCTCTTGTTAAGTTTTGTAAAGGACTTGGAAAAGGATTGTTGACAATGAAGTTCTTACTTGTGGAAGCAAAAAAAAAGACAAAGAAACAAAAAAAAGTTAAATTGCTTCTTCCTGAGAAGAATTAAGACAGAAAAAGTCACAGTTTTCAAGAAAAGCCACAATTTGCTACAGCTCCACCTTCAACACCAATATCCCCTCCAGACTGATCTCAAAACTGTGTGACCTTGGTCCCAGCTCCACCCCCTAAAACCAGATCCTCAGCTTTCTGACCCACAGGCCGCAATCAGTGAGGATAGGGAACAGCACCTCCTCCACATTAACACTCAACACTGGAGCATTCAGAGCCCCCTACTGTACTCCCTGTACACCCACAACTGTGTCGACAAATTCCAAATGATGGCCATCTACAAGTTCGCTGATGGCACCACCCCGGTAGGACGGATATCTAACAACAACAAGTCAAAATACAGAAGGGAGATAGAGGGCTCAGTGACATGGTGCAATGAGATCAACCTCTCTCTCTCTCTCAAGGTCAGCAAAACTAAAGAACTGATCAGAGATAGAAGAACTGCCGATGCTGGAGTCTGAAATAACACAGTGTGGAGCTGGATGAACACAGCAGGCCAGGCAGCATCAGAGGAGCAGGAAAGCTGACATTTCGGGTCAGGACCCTTCTTCAGAAAAACTGATCACTGACTTCAGGAAGAAGGGAGGAGGACACGCCCACCCCCATCTACAACAACAGAGCGGAGGTTGAGAGGGTGGACAGCTTCAACGCCCTAGGAGTGACAATAACCAACAATCTATCCTGGACTTGCCACGTAAACGCGACAGTCAAGGGTCAACAATGCCTCTTCTTCCTCAGGCGGCTCAGGAAATTTGTCATGTCCATAAGGTCCCTCACCAACTTTAACAGATGCACCATTGAAAGCATACTGTCCGGGTGCATAACGGCCTGGTATGGCAACTGCTCTGCCCAGGACTGTAAGAAACTACAGAAGGTGGTGTACACAGCCCAGACCATCACGGAAGCCAGCCTTCCATCCACGGACTCCATTTACACGCTTCGCTCTAAACATCAAAGATCCCTCCTACCCCGGTAATGCTCTCCTACAACCTCTTCCGTCAGGCAGAAGGTACAGAAGCTTGAACACACACACCAGCAGGTTTAGGAACAGCTTCTTCCTGCTGTTGTGAAACTGAAGAATGGACGCTCTAACTTCAAATAATGCTGATCTTGCCTAGCATGTGTCCTGTGCTTTGTAACCTATGGCTCTGTCCAAGTTTTTTTTCCATCCTGTGATCTGTATGTCCTTGCTTACTGTGATCAGCCTGTACTGCTCGCAAACAACACTTTTCACTGTAATTAGGTACACATGACAATAAATAAATCAAATCAAATCAAATCACATAGTGCCCTCCTGGTGGATATTCTAACAGTCTATAAGAATGCAAGACCATAAAATGTAGAAAAAAAACAGCAGACCAATCAGCCCATCGAGTCTGCTCTGCCATGCAAATAAGATCATGGTTGATTGAATAATCATTCAACTCCACTTTCCTGCATTTTGCCTGTAACCCTCAATTCCCTCATTGAGTACAAATCTGCCACTTTTAACATACTTAACATCCCAGCCTCAACAGCCCTCTACAGTAAAGAATTACACAGAATTATAAACAAGAGGGTATGCTTGTGGATCCGAACACAAGCAAATTGCTATTTACGGTTCTTATTGCAGGGTAAGGTAGGGGACTGCTAGGCCACTTCTCAAAAGCTTGGGGCAAAATTCTCCAAGAGATTAGGCACTGACAGAATTTCCAACCTGTGTTCATTGGTTGAAGAGACGGCAATTTCTCCTTCAAAATCTTAACTCACTTGCGCCACTGGGAAATGCTAAACTACACCAGCATTTCTATCCAGACTTCACGCAGCAAAGCAAACATTAACATTTCCACTATATACTCACGTTGTGTATTCTGAACAGACAGAGAGCTACCACGTGAGAACACCATTTAGCCCCAGCTCCACAGGTACAGCTACATGAGGTTATCCGACAACGGTCAAACATCACTGCCACGTTGAATGCCCCTTTAGCTTGAGCTGTCTGTGGAGGAACCACGGTGGCACTCAAATGAAATCCTGTTTTGGGGAAGGAAGGGCGAGAGAAAAGGAAACAAAGTTTAGATAGATTGGTGCTCACACAATAATCCACACACATACAAGGTGCATACAGGTGCACACATGCGCACACACAGACACACACAGGTGCAGACACACACATGCAGAGACACACACACACACGCAGAGACGGACACACACGCACACACACGCAGAGACGGACACACGCACACACACGCAGAGACGGACACACGCACACACACACAGAGACAGACACACGCACACACACAGATGCGCGCACACACACACACAGAGACACAGAGACACACACACACACAGACACACACACACGCAGAGACAGAGACAGAGACACACGCAGACACAGAGACGCGCGCACGCACACAGACAGACGCGCGCACGCACACAGACAGACGCGCGCACGCACAGACGCACGCACACAGACGCGCGCGCGCACAGACACGCGCGCGCACAGACACGCGCACAGACACACGCACACAGACACACGCACACAGACACACGCGCACAGACACACGCGCACAGACACACGCGCACAGACACACGCGCACAGACACACGCGCACACAGACACACGCGCACACAGACAGAGACAGACACACGCGCACACACGCAGAGACACACAGACACACGCGCACGCAAACAGAGACAGACACACGCGCACACACGCAGAGACACGCAGACACACACACGCAGAGACACAGAGAGAGACACACAGAGACACACACAGAGGCAGACACACGCACACACACAGACGCGCACACGCAGAGACACACGCAGACACAGAGACAGACGCGCACACACAGAGACGCGCACACACAGAGACGCGCACACACA